CCCCCCCCCCCCCCCCCCCAGGATATCTAAAGGTCCATCCCTTAGATCCAGAGTTATTCAGCAGTTAACTGAACCTTAATATTGTACAGAAACCCTCCAGAGAAACAGTTGGGGGACTTATTTATAGGGAAAAAGTGGAGGGTGGCAATCTTCCTTCTGAGTTCTGTCCTGCAGCTTCGGTGTCATTGCAAGTTGTAGCAATTCTCTCGTGCCTATTACAATTACCTCATGTTTGTTTAGACCCTCGATGAAGTTCTCTGCGTTCTACGGTTCACGTAAAGCGTCGTTCACGTACACTGGGATGTTTGGAGATGACGAGGAGGAAGACTATGCTGATGCTGGAAGTCGACAGTTTGTCATTAATGATAATGAGGTATAACATTGAACTAATGAACTCACTTATTGCTCCAGTGTTACAACATAGAAGAAAAAGTGAAAAACTAAACTGCGTTTCTACAACAAGGGGAAACCGGAGTACCCGCAGAGCAAAGCTGTGGTGTATGATAGAGCCAGACTGGAAGTACTTTTTCTCATATGCGAATGAGGTGAAATGATAATCAGCAAGGCCGGATTTTGGTGGAAATAGTGGGGCAGGTGGCAAGAATCTTAGGGGAGGTGCAGCAATTTAGCTCACGACCCCCATGGAATGTCAGGGCTTAGAACTGGGCGAAAGTCAACGACGCGTGTACTAATGAATTATGACTATACAACAACTCATTACAATTACTACCAAGTTTCTTTCAAAATATTGCATTAAAAGGGTACTTGACACAGAGATGAATTGGCTATCACTGTTTCAATTTTACAGAAAAACTTTCTTTCGAAGTGTAGACCCTAAGCAACCAAAAAATCTCACATTTTCACTTTGATCTATCATTGAAACTTTCCCAAGGGGAAGTGCATGGCTTTTCAGGGGAGGTGCAAAAATTCTCAGGGGAGGTGCAAAACGATCTCAGGGGAGGTACACACCTCCCCTCAACATCCGGTCATGTTAATCAAACAAATGCATATCGCAGGAATCGAAGCCTGGACGTAATAAACCTTCACGGAAAGTTTCAAAATTAACAACTTTCCCAATTCTTTACTTCATAACTATTCTACCGAAAAAATAATTCCCAAAGAGTTCGTTTCGACACTGAAATCATGCATTTCATTTCCAGGTAAACTTTGCGAATCCCGTGTACAACTCGCTGTTCCTAGAAGGTCCTTCAAGAGACGACTATGCCGAAGTGAATCGTCAACTCATCTTTGAAGATGGCGACAGTAAAGTGGATTTCTCCAACCCTATGTACGATTCTTACTACGGCTCGAACGAGAACTCCGAGATGGATCTATTTCTGCCACAGAAACAAAGCCCGGATACCGTATCGAGTGGAGAATCCTACGGTAGCCATGACTCTCTTCGCGGGAGTACGACGAGACTCGTCAAAGACGAGAAGTAAATGATTTTAGCCAAGATTTTTGGTGGTCAATTTCGTTGTGTTTTTATCCTCAGATGATCGTTGACATGACGGTATATTTGACGTTTTATTTAACTCACCAAAAACAATGCTAGTTCAGGTTTCGTATATAGCACTTGATGTAGAAAGGTGTGGCTGACAGGGGTGTAGCTATACGGGTGGGTTTTTTTGGGGGGGGAGGGGGTTATTGGGTCCTTCCTTTATCGGAAAATTATATACTCCTAACACCCTGTAGAGTTATGCTACTGAACAACCCCCCCTCCCTTGCTCCTACGGTTTTGTTTCCTGTTTGCTCACGGTGGCAAAGAAAATATTTTCTGATTTTCGAAATTCTACTTGAATATATATATAGCAGTTGTATATGTATCACTGCCTAACCAATGTATGATAACGATTTCATCATAGCTAATGACCAATGTACCACACTATACCATGTGTGGTACACATACGTTATATACAATATACTAACACCAAATAATATGTACTAACCCACAATAATAATACTTGTCTAATACGTACAGCGTGTATATGTAAAACGTATAAAGTTGTAGTCCTGAGTTAATGTTTTCAGTTAGTAAATCGTTTAAATTCTTAATCCTAGTTTGTAGAGCATAATATAGATTTTATATAACCGCAAACAATAATAAAGAAATAGAATGCGTTATTTTGTGTGAAATTTGAGTATATCGTGGGTGGGCCACAAAGCGTCACATTACAAACTACACATGTAAAAACAAGTTGTAACAAACCTGCAGCAGACTTGTAGCAATGCTGCTCCAACAACTTGTCAACAGGATGTGTTCGCACTGCTTGTTCCTAGCTTGTTGACAAGTTGTCAACGGCTTGTTGACAACTTGCTACAGCCGACAAGGTTGTTGACCTCAACAGACTTGTTACAAGTTGTGAGTGACAACCTTGTAGCAACTTGATAAAATAACAGCATTGTTGCAACTTGTTGACAAGCTTGCTACAAACCTGTTGCGAACACATCTTGTTGACAAACTGTGAGATTTTTACAATGGGCTAATTACGTATTCAGTTTGCTCTGCTCAGCAAAACAAGACAAACGTTTGCTAATGAACCGTCCAATTTTTATCATATAAATAAATAAAATTTAATCAATTTGTCCTTGGGTAATGTCCGTTAGATCCACTATTTTTATACCCATAATTAATATACTTTGATATTTTTTCACACACACGCAAACTCCAAGAATACACTTTTTTACAAAAATACAGCGTATAATTCTGGGGGGAAAATATCGTACTTAACAAATGACTTACACGTGTTTATAAAAGTAACATTTCGTCCTTTAAAGCTTCTTCATTTATGTACAAAAAAAGTTAGGAAAAAATAAATGTACACATAAAATGAGGCTATGTGGCAAATTGAAAATGCATTCAAAAGTGTTGTTTTTTCACAGTAATGTATGTTTTGAAGATATATGTACTTAATGTTTTGAGAATAACATGTTTTCACTGTTCGATGTTTTAGAGAATATGTTTTTAATGTTTTATACGACTAACCCTGTTATTGTTCTGGAATTTCAGGAATAGTAAAAGGCACGTCAGAGAATAGAGCACTTCCGGTATTTTCATGGAAAATTTTATCAATGGTCGACGAATAGTTCGTAGAATCTGAAAGATGCCCAGTAGAATGACTTATTTCCTCAGATTTTAACGCTTTTGTCTTTTTCTTCCTATTAACTCGAAAACTGCGAAAGCCTTTGAGTTTCCTGCTCTTGGGCTCGACCTCGCCTTGTTTTTCGATATCCGTATCGTCTGGGCTGCTTCGTTCGCGGAATGATAGTTTTCTACGAATTGTCGCGGAGAACGATCGAATTCTCCCAGTATGATCTGCAGTTTGAGATGGTAGATTCAATGTCTCGAGGCTCGGTACCTTCAAACCGTGCACGGCTTTGCCAGTTTTGTTGTTTTCGCTTGCTGACGGTAGCACCAAACTTTTTGGTCTGCTACTTTTCTCTGGTATCTGACCGTTGTTCAACAAGCTTTCCTGAATTCGCAGAGGCATGTGATGTGGTTTGTCGAATGTTACAGCCTTTTGGCTGGAATGTGTTGTTTCTCCATTATTACAACAACTCTTGTTCGTTTCCTCCTGTGAGCTTTCTTGTTTACATTGGTCCTTATTTACCAGTTGTATGTCATGGCATAATGAATCCTCTGTGGAGCAAGGCTCGGGATTTTCGCTTGCTGTTTCTAATGAGTTATCCACAGCTATTATAGGTATTTCGACTAGACATGTCGCTGCTGAACTAGTAGATTTGTCAGGTCGCTTGTCTGTTGTTGTATTGTGTGCTATTTTGCCCGTGGGCATGTCAGATTGGTTTCCAATAGTTGCGCAGTGCGAGATTTTATCAATAGATTGTTGCATATGATTTTCTGTGGTTGCAGAAAGCAAAGTTTTACCAGTAGATGGATCAGACTGGTTTTCCTCAGACTGCAATATTTCACCAATGTTGTTTCTACCGTCTAAGCACAAAGACGCAGACGATGCACTTTTGACCCCAGAGTCAACTTTGCGTGCGTCAAGACATAGTTGAGATTCAGTCCTTAAATCTAAGCTCTTCTCGTTGCTAAGCGCTTCATCAGTATTCGTCGAAGCGTCTCGAGTTTTGCATATATTATCAACTAGTCTAGTAGCTTGAAAGCAATCTGAAATCTTGTTCCTTTTGCTCCCGTCATCGACACGTTTGCGTGCCAGAGTGCTCATGCCATCTTTGGCCAGTTTAATTAATTCTTCAAAAGAATCACCTGCCGCCTCTGATTTCTGAAACTCAGACCATTGCTCTTTCGGAACACGTTGTGCCTTCGTTTCACAAGGGATTTTGCCTGTTAAAGAGGACCCTGATTTTTCAAGTTCTTTACTTTCATGCGGCGTGCCTGAAACCTTATCCAAAAACTTGTCTTTTTCATTTGCTTCCGTCTTCTGCGCATGACAATAAACAAGTGATGAAACGTTTAACTGCGCATGCGTTATCTGAGGTTCTGTGGCGTACATTTCATGGCATGAGGAGCCGCACCCCGAATCAACATCGCTTTCCTTTGAAAACGATTTCCCCTCCTCTTTGCCTTGTAGGTATTTTTCGTCGCTAGTTTTCCTGTCCGGTGCATTTGTTTGCCCTCCCACAAGCGCCGGGCTGGTTTCTGTACTTTCACTTTCGTTATTTGAAATTTCAGTTGTAGCTTCCACTTGACATGTTTCCACTTCATTTTCACAAATGGTATCGAGCTCGTCATCTAGGTGATGCAAGTCGTGATGACTGCAGTCTTCAGTTATATCATTAGTAATTCGATGGACCTCGCACAAATGAGTCTTAAAACCATCCGTCTGAGTAACAGCATCTTGACGGTATGTCTGTTGCCTTGTGTGAGCTAGCGAAGAAAGCAAAGTCGGACTTCATATATTTGCACCAGATAAGAGAATGATTACTAAGACTGCACATGTAAAAACGCACAAGTTGTTACAGGTCTGCAAACATGTTGTTACAAATCTGTCGACAAGTTCATGCGTAAAAATCTCACATCTTGTAGCGAGTCTGCCAACAAGCCGTCGACAAGTGCGGTTCGCACTGCTTGTCCCAAATTGTCAACAAATATGAAACGACTTGTTAACAGTTTTGTAACAACCTTATTGATATTATCAGACTTGTTGGAAGGTTGTTCCAAGACGTCCGATACAGTCATGCATGATATAACAATATTGTTGCAACCTTGTGTTTTCAACATTGCAACATTCTTGTTATGTCATGACTGTATCAGACTTGTTAGAACAACCTTGTAACAAATCTGCCATGCCATCAAGCTTGTTACAAGTTGTTAACAGCTTGTTACAAACTTGTTACAACAACTGGGAACAAGCAGTGCGAACACAACTTGTCGACAGCTTGTGAACAGATATGTGACAACTTGTTTGCAGACTTGTAACAACTTGTTTGCAAACCTGTAACAAGTTGTTCCATACTTGTTGACAACTTGGGACAAGCAGTGCGAACACAACTTGTTGGCAGACTTGCTACAGGATGTGAGATTTGTGCGTGTGTAGTTGCCAAATACAAATTCGTGAAATAAAGTAGGTGAAATATGGTCCAAATATGCATCGTGTTTTAGGTTTTGACGAGATTATAAAATGTTTGAATATCATGTTTCATCTGAATGTTGATTGATGTTGGATTATGTTAGATCAGGTTTGACCAACAATGACAATGGACCAAGAATGTGAAAGGGTCTTACTATATATAGTTAACCCCCTCCCCGCCCCTCGCTATTTCATGCCTTCTCTTATACCCCCCCCCTGACTAACCTTTTGGAAAAACATCTTCCGTTGGTATGGTAAACACAACGCTTCTCGTTGGCTCGTCACTGGCAGCTTTTCGTGTCGAATTTCTCAAACCTTTCCACAATCTTAAAAATCTTGACAACGTCGGTCGCCGTTCGCCGTCCTCGGGATCCTGATTCAAAGTTTGTTGTGAAGTGAAACCAACATCGATCTTGGAACTGCTTTTTCCCGCTACGCTTCTGCTTGCTAGACGCTCCGAAAACGTGTTTTCGATGTGTTGGGAATGTCGTAGTTTTTCCTCTCTTCGTTTTCTATAAAAAAATTAGAAATTCATTTCAACGAATTGCAGTCCAAGGCCAAGGCCAAGGCAAGGGCTGTGCGTACGAAGGCAGGAAATAGCGCTATCCACCGGGATTTTTTCAACCGTTACCAAAAAAAAACTTGAAAAGCAATAAAGTTACGGATATGACCTCACAATTACGACAAAGGAACTGTAATTTTTAAATACTAAAGATTAACCTTGGCAATACGAATCAGCAGATAATTTTAGAAAACTTTAAAAAATTGCCATCCGGCGAATAGCGCTATCCGGCCTTCGGCTCGAATGTTCACCAAAAATCTTGTCTAGATCATTTATAGTTTTATTTTCCAAAGATTTAAAACAAAGATTCACAAACCGGAACAATGGGTTAATTTTAACCCAGGATTCGCGGTTACCGAGTTTTGAACAACCATGGTTGATAACCGGCCCCTGTAGTAGACTGCTACATAAATAATGTGGAATTTAGATAAACACGTGTGTTAGAATGGATGCGCTTTTCTTAAATTCTTATCTGTGGTCATTTCGTACCTTACAAAATACCAGACAGAAAATACGACACAGATGACAAACAGAAGTGTTAGAGCTGCTAGACCAGTAAAGATAAACTTGAAGGCAACGTTGGACTTATCATGTGATTGAAAACTTCTCATTTGTTACAAATGTTTTTCTGTTGTGTCCACTTCACTTCATGTTACATGACGTCAGTAATAGTTGTGACGTCATTCAATTTATCATGGCGCGCGCAAGCTCAGTTTGTTACGCTTGCTTGCTTGGGAAGTCTGGCGAGAGGCGGAAGCGAGAAGGCTAAGCAAAATTCCCAGACTGTCCTTCTTGGGAAGCATTTTTGGCCTTCCAGTTGACATATTTAAATCGATGTTTTTGCCGATAATTAGTACATGGCTTTGGATGAAGAATGAAGATATTTTGGTAAATGGAAGAACGTATATGTGCTGAAAGTTTGGGTAAGTTCATAATTAATTAACGAATTTTGCTAGGCCTTCTCCAGAGCCCAACCAGCCACGCGAGAAGGCCTGGGACTAGGCTAGATTTGAGAGATGTGGTGATTGCTCGTGACTGCCAATTCTCGTCAAACCAATCTCGAGACTTTGTAGCATGTTACTCTAGATTATTATATCAGATTCTACTCATTCTAGAGTCAGATTTGTCCAGTTAGCACATCAAGTAGTTCAGCTTAGCTATATTAATAGAAGTCTAGTAATGCCTATCACGCGCCGATTATGACGCACATTACACACTAGTGAAAATCTCAAAATACTTGACTTGATTTGAATAAGTTGATTACTGCTAAGTACTTCTTGGAAAAGGTTTTAATTAAACACATAGAAATTAAACCGCTATCATGTATTATACCAATATAATCTCCTATTCTTTGTACCCCAAATCGGTAGCATAAATTGACACGATGGTCCATGCACTAGTGTGTGACTGAAAATCAAGAAATGTATTTTACAATACACTGACCTTTACTATACTCCATAGAGCTTTCAATGATTTTTGAAGTATACTAAAGATGTTATATTTCTCACTAAATACTCCGCACAGTTGTCAATGACAATGACAAAAATTTTTTTACAAAAATTAAAATCATTAAAAAAGACTGTTAAAAGTTACGAGCCAAGCGCTGGCGGGGACATTTAAACCTTGTCCTCCTTGCCCTTGTTTCTTGCATAGGAAATAAACTAAATAGTCATGACTAAATCACGCATATAACTTTATATATTGCTTCAATATATATAAATACGTATTGACGTTTATAATATGTATACAACGCATATCACGTCGGCAGCGAGTATAATAAACAATGCATGCTTTAATTATGCTTTAATATTAATACAACGACTTCCCGTGTAACCCCGCTATATGCCAATGGCTAATCGCCTTTCACGTCTAGTATGGCAAAGAAAACACATCTTGTCATCTGCGAATTCACTATGAATTACCCAATCATTCAGTTTTGTTTCGGAAATAGCAAAGGGCACAAGAGTCCTCGTGAACAGAGAGTTCTTTGCATGCCTGTTTAGCAAATAACTTCCTTTATGACTTATAACTGAGTACACATACCTCGTTCTGTTTGCCCAGAATGTAGACCACGCTTTGAACATTGTGTGTGTGGTCAAATCCGTTTGATACGGTCAACAGGAATTCAGTCAGCAGAGCGTTTATATCAATCCGTTATATTAAACACAAGACAGCTACTTGAATTGTTCGAATATTACCAGAAGATATCTCTATATTTGTTTTGATGCGCATAATAATTGATCGGTAACTCCGTTAAATATAAGGAACTTCTTGACACTGACGTATAAGGCGAAAAGGTTTTTATCGAAGTCTCAGTTTCTTCGCGGACAATCCGATTAATAATTTCGATTTGAAGTGCATCAAGAAAGCTCTCACTTTGTCCTTACATTTTAGTCATTTTATGTCAAGTGGTTTCAACAATAATAACACAGTATGAAACGGTATTATTATTTAAATGAGTTTGGTTACCGAATGAATTTTGCATGTATTATAAAGCGGAAATCTTTATTCAAGCGAAGTAATCTATGAATAGCCAGAATGCATTATGAAAGAGCTTGTAATCGCTTTTCGAGTCTGTGTACTTTGCCCATGCGATGCACGCAAAAATTTAACGATATTCCTACATTATGAGTGAGAATATATTGCGTTACGCGCGTTTTTCGGTTGTCTGTCATTGGCTAAAATGCCGATTATAAATCGCTATTTGATTGGTTCAAATTACTTTCCGAAGTAAATTTTCAAATTACTGTAATAAACGGTCTTAGTTACTTTTTGAAGGATAGTTATTTTTGTGTGTTGAAATACTTTACTAAAACTACGTTACGGCTATATATGATTTTGGCGTAACGTTACAATGCCTTCGCCATGTTTCCTAGACTTGCTCCAATCTCTCTTTCATTGTCATATAGTATCGATCGATGTGACAATGAAAGAGAGACTTGGAGCAAGTCTACATGTTTCCTAACAGTGCGCTTACGAGAAGCGTTCGCCTCCTGAAAATATTCAAAAGGCGGACTTTCAGGGCGATCACGGCTTGAGTCCTAGGCCCTCGGCCTGTTCGCTTCCGCCTTACTATTTTAGGGCGATATTTTGACAAGGTTTGCAGGTTGAGGGATTCCTCAAACCGTATTCAGTCACGCGAGAAGGCGTGGGACTAGGCCCAGCCTCGTACCCAGGCGCTTTAGAGAGAAAAATATAATCGCGCTAAGCTACTATATAGAGATCAGGGCGAACGCGCAGCTGCAAAAAAACAGTGATGCGCATATGACGAGTTTACATAGTCGATTTCATAGTCGATTTACATGTAATATTTATAACACACAAAATCTTGACACAAAACAGATACATGAAGTATTGTAGTGGGGAGAGATGCCGAAGGGGCTGATGGGAAAAGTGCACTTAGCAAGTATTCAGCCTACCTGAATACTTTATGTATTGTAATTATTTAAAGCGCCTGGGTACGAGGCAGGATATGGCCGGTCACAATCTCGTTCCCCGAGCCTGCGATCCTCGGGAAGGAACGCGAGGCTCTGGGATAATCTGTTGCCGGAAGCCAGGAATTCTGGCTAAGATTGAACTGCGCATTCCATTTCAACGGCCAATCAGATTCCTCCCTGAAACGGATTATCCCAGAGCCTCGCGTTCCTTCCCGAGGATCGCAGGCTCGGGGAACGAGATTGGCCGGTCACTGCTGCGCGCTCGGCTCAGCTTAGCCACTGGTCTCTATATAGTAGCTTAAGCTCGATACGAGACTGGACTAAGGCCATATCAGTGGACTAGGCCTAGGAGTCTTTGACTGTCGGTGGAGCGTCGACTTTAATAATGCGAGGAAGAATAGCTAACCAACTGAATCGTTAATGTCTCCCGTCCGTCTCGGAACTCCAGAATAGTCTAAATAATAAAAATAGAACTTATCAAAAATTCTGACGTGTAGTTCCCACTTCCCTCTCAATGTTGTTAAAAATAACTGCGTCAAGTGCTGGAACCTAACACATTTCCCCTTTAGCCGAAACTCATCGGGTTTCATTATCAACTTAATTAGACGGTCCGTGGCAATGTTGAAACGGATGCGACTACCTGAAAAATACAAGGAGAACTTCGACGTATCGAGCCGGAAGGGGCCGTTCGTCGGGAATAAGGCTCCTTGTATTTTTCAGGTAATTGCATGCCTATCCAAAGTTTCCTTATATTATATTATATAACTTAATATATTGACATTTCATTTTGCCCATTTTTGTTGACTGACAACTGAATATCTTAATAGCTGACAAACAACAAGATAGCAATTTGAAACTGGCCTCTTACAAATCTTGAATTTTGGCTTTAATTTTAGCTGATATTTAAATTGACTTCATTATGAAAACACTTAGTGACTCCATGGGGGTAAAGGACCATGTTTATTAGTATTTTAATTTAGAAATTTTGGGCCCACATCGCCTAAAAATATCCTAAGTTTCGTTTTCATTTAGCATTTTGGCATCATCGCTGATAGCCTGATACTCTGATAACACGAAGTGCACACGCCCACCACTTATTTGACTAAAGAATATTTAAAATGTCTGATCTATCAGACTTAATTTTTGACATCATCAAATTTTCATCCAATCTCATGTAGTGTTAATATAACCGCCGGACATTGACGTATTTTCCCTTAATTAAACTCACAATTGCTTTATACACCATCCTTTCCATTATATAGTATTAAAAATAATTGCCCGTCTAAAATTTATAAAATTCGATTGAACTGTCGAATACAAGTAATAGACTTAAATATATCTCATATACTCTTCTAATCAGAGATGATAGGAATTGCTGTCCTATGACGGCTTCTGTGTCTGTGCGGGTTTTCAATGTACTTACAAAGATTTTCAATCTTCAACCTGTTAGTTCTCAACATGCGAATTATATTTAACACAGTAAGACAATTATGACATGTTTGAAGAGGACGGAATACTAATGAGATAAAGGAATGCAATAAACTATTATTGTAAAAGTTGTGAGAGGCTAAAGGATATGGTAAGACTAAACGATGAAGTTACAAGAATGAATTGAAAGAAAAAAATTGTGCCAACACGAATACCGGTTAATACCAGTGGTAATAAGGCCTATATCGGTTGTGATGCAATAGACTCATTTCCTCCTCAGCAAGGTTCTCGGATTTGTGACTTGGGTAACCTGTATGATCAGGTGGTGGGCAAGCTGCAGGCGAGATAAGAGGCTGTACAGTCAATCGCTTGGCTTTGTTGCATTTCTTGCACAATTTACTTCGTCGAAACTTGATCGTTTTTCTCTCGAGTTTCGCTTGGAATTTATTGTGTTCATCTTCGTATCTATTGGTGTCGTATCAGGGGAGGTGTTTTAGACAGGAACTGGTGAGATATAAGTCGAAGTTTCGTATCGGTAGCCGTGTTTAAACCGTCCTGTTGCCACGTGTGTTGGCGGTGTAGGAAGTGAAACAGCAGCTGCATTTGGTCCGTTTTCCTCAGGAAAACTCTCGAAATACTTCAGCCTTGTTGAAGAACACTAGCAGAGACTGCCAGCCGCCTTGTGAAGCAAACTTGAAGCCCAAAACGGGAGGCACATCGTCCTCGTTTCGTTTGTGAAACACCAACTGGATTTGTGGATATATCAACTTGTCTGCGTTTTGTCTTGGACATATTGTCGGTGTCTGGTATCATCATAACTCGTGTGTATTAAGTAAATCCTTGCTCGGTTACACAAACTTCCCTTCTATAAGAAGTACTGGTGGGATAGACGTTACTCAGATATTGTACGGAGCCGCATGAGTTCGGCCACGACAAGCTCTGCTACTGAAGTGGATATCACAATTTCAAAAAAGGTGGGGTTGTTTCCAAACTGTTTCCTGTAGTTATGTCTGAGTTCGTTTTAACGTCTTTCGGATAGTGGCAAAGCGAAAACGAACGAAGGCTACGTTCTTTTACGAAGAGTACGGTGGTTAGAAGAACTTTTAAAAATAACACTGTGCGTGGGAAGTCAGTCCGTACGTGTTAAAACGTATGGCGGCCATGTTTATTGACCCCTCGAAGTTATCAGCCATCGAATTTTTCCCATTTCGTTTACATTACCGTTCCCTGTCAGGAAAAATTGGAAATACGAGCTCTAAGTTTATCTTTTATTCAGTATTCCAGCTGCCGTGTCATCGTTTTTGATGCGCTAAATGTCTGCGAAAATAGACAATGTTTAATTTAAAATTTCGAGGCCACAAATTGATTGATCCTCTGATCGTATGACCAAAAGTGTCCTACGCCGAAAAGCTCGGCCAAAATGAGTCAGCACTTCGAGAAATTCGACTTACTTACTTTAAAAGATGTCACTCAGGCGTGAAATAGCATCAATTTGTGGTTTAAACTAGTGAATATTATTTGTTCCTTTGTATTGTATGTTGGCCCTTCTGTTATATTACTTAGTATATCAGATGGCAGGCTATCATTATTACAGTAAGACACTGCCAAAGTTATAATCGAATAGCCACAATTTTCATTGTTATAAAGTGAAATTGATTAAAACCTCTACATTTCTGGATGCAAGTTTCGAGGGATGTTCAGTATTTCTTAAGCGATGAGCTGATACGATACAAAATTGCAAAATCTTTTCCCTGAAAGCTTGCCTCATTATTTTTAATTGGGGGTTTATATTAAATCTGAATGTGGGATTGATTTGTTAAATTTTAGAAAGAGGTTGCTTCAGAAAAGATTTATATTACTCTCATGATGATGTAAAAGAGTCCCCCCCTGCCCTTCCCAGGACCGGTTACTCCCCCCCCCCCCACCTATTTTGGTGGACACCTGAGCCATAATAATGTTGCTTGTGTCTAATCTGTTAATCACAAGTAAAATTGTCTGGCATTAGGCTAAGTAGACACATACACCATTAATTTTAGCAAGACCAAATGTCCATTTAGTCTGTAAATCAGGACTGTGAATCATCAAATTATGCATGACCAGACATAGTCACGTTTAAATGTCTGTGTATTGTATGTTTTTTGTTTTTTTTAAACACTTTACCCAGAAGACATGTTTTCACAATATCATTTTCTAGGAAACTATGTAGACTTGCATAATATTGCCCAAATTTTTCCACCTATTTATCAATTTGTTTATCAGGGCTCGAAATAACGTTTCCAACGTTCCCGATCATGCTGATAAGCAGTCATGATTTTCTGCTGATCAAATGAAAATCTGGCCAATCGGTATAGGATATGTTGTGTTTATATGTTCTGTGATAATACCATAGTATTGCATGGTGTCTGTTAACAATATTAACCATGTTTTTGAGACGATGGTTCTTGCCGATCAAGATGATCGATAATCTTGCTTCTCTGCCGATCAAAAGCAATTTCCTGCCGATCATTGATCGTTGATCGGCCGTTATTTCGAACCCTGGTTCATTTTAA